CACCACAAAACATGCAGGTGCATGCTATGCTCTCCTTCTGCCTCCCCTTACAAAATTTACACCCTTCATACTTCTCACCCAGCTCCCTGAATTATGTTCAGTTAGCTAGTAGAAAAGCCAGTACTGATTGATTGTTAGGATTGCCTAGAGTTTCAATGAAATGTGCAATTTTATTGCCACGTTTTGTTGCAAAATTAATAATTCTGTGAACTTGATTTTTTTCTTATAAACAGCAATTAAGTAGTCATACCCCATATCATTGTGATAGAATTAACTCTATCTCATTCTTATTTTGTATGATCTTGGGAAATAAGAAAAAATGAAAATATGCCATCCCTATGTAGAAATAGCTTCTTTTAAGATTATATTATGAAATCGACCTTGGTTTATATTTTAAGATTCAAGCTTAAATTGCCAAGGCAAGACAAACAATTCTCTGATTTCCATTGGAGAACCAAACACCCCAAGCAGGGCTATCTATTTAAGTCTGCAAGACTATAAGATTCAGAAGCAGCAAGGTATTCCCATGTATAAAGCAAAAACCAAGATAAGATTCTACAGAAAGGTGACCCTAAGTATTTGGAAGCCCATATATCTGAGCATCTGTGGGGCATTGGAGAGACAGTGGGGCTAGTGTTTGTGTGTATGTATGTAAGTATCTTTGTATGTATGTATGTTTGTGTATATGCTGGGGGATGAAGACTATGTAAGAGAGGCCATCATAGCTTACTGGTTAGCCTCAGGGACTCTGGAACTAGCCTGAATGAGTTTAAATTACAGCTTAGTCATTTATTAATTATGTGACTTTGGGCAAAACAAAGGCAAAATGGTAACTACCTCTTAAGACTGGGGTCAGCATTACATGGGTTAGTACATACATGAACAGCACTTAGAACAGTGCCTAGCAAGTCATGAGCACTCAATAAATACTAGCAACTGTCAGTACACCAAATGGAGGCAAGTGATGCATCTAATACAAACTTCATCATTTTCAAAGGGAAGCATATATTCACCTGAAGTGTGAAATATGAGCCAAAAAGGATGAGGAACCTGACATTAAATAGAAGAATTATTAAAATGAGTTTCTCTAAGCCATTGAAAAGATCTGGCAAAGTATAGGTTATTTAGATGGGCTAGACAGATTGCTTCCCCCAAATCACTCACCTATGTGAGTGCTCCCATCACTAGATGGCAGTGTAAAATTCTCTATTATATCTAAATAAACTAATTATGTCAGATATCCAAATACTGCAAAAATAGAAAAAAATCCCAAAAATTCACATTAAATATTCTCAGAAATTTTTATCATTAATGTCCCTTAAGTAATTAATAATACACTCATTTCGAGCAAAAGAAATAATGGCAATTTAAAGATATACAGCACATAGAACAAAATATATTTATGAATATTAAATGTACATATATATTCTGTCAGAAAATTGAAATGTATTAAGATGATTTCAGTTTACCTTTATTCAGTCTATTGTTCACTATATTTCGATAATAAAATTTCATGAGCATTATACTTAAGGAGTATTTCAAATTTATTATATAAAGTTGGTTCCTGAAAATATGATGAAAATCAACTAAAATATGATACAATCAACTGAAATGTGATGCAGTATTCTAGATGGAATCTTAAGATAGGGAAAAATATTAAGTAAAAATTAAGGAAATCTGAATAAAGGATGGACTTTAGTTAATAATAATGAATCAATAATGGGCCACTAACAAATGTACCATACTAATGTAAGATGATAATAATTAGAGACACTGGGTATGGGGTTTGTGGGGACTTTTTGTACTACTTTCACATATTTTTTTGGTAAATCTAAATCTATTCTAAAATGAAAGTTTAAAAAGAAACTATAATGCCTTTAGTTTCCACTCAGTGGATTCTTTTAAATAATTTCAACTCTTATTTTAGAGTCAGGGGTATGTCTGATGTTGAGGTTTGAGGTACAATTGAACCCATTACCCAGGAAGTTAGCCTAATACCCAACAATTTTGCAACCCTTGCACTCAGCAGAATTTCAAAGAATTGAACATCTATTTTGAGCAGAACTCTTGCCTGCCACAAAGACCTAAAGAGCAATACTGAGTTCTCACCATAAACTGAAATATTCAAGATCCCTTATTCGAAATTGATTTTCAAACCTCTTAAAGGAACCCTTTCTGCTCACTAGAAAGTTAATTCAGTAGTAGTGATCTGAAATTCTCACGTGCAGACAAGCAACTGAAATTGAATTAGGGCCACTGTTTATAACTAAACTCTCTCAGAGGACCTAATGCCACTTGGCTTGGCTGGGGCTGCTGTGTAGCTATCAGGTCATCTTGCACATTGCTAATGATCTGTGCCTGAGTCCAAAGGTGGCTTAGCATCTCTTGTCAATTCACCTTGATAGCCACGTCATTACTGGGCGAAGCCCAGACCATGGGGAGGGAACACTATCTCTCCACTTCTGGAAATGATGACTCTGCATAGCCACACTCAAATTACACTGACCTTTTTGATAGTCATGTCACATCCTGCAGGGACAGTCACTTAGGTTGCCCAGCTCACCCTAGGGCTTTTTTAATCACTGGAAACTAATAAGATTTTGTGTGTGTGTTATTAAATGTCTGTATTTCTGATTTGTGTCTCCTTGCATTGATGTCTATTTCTTGGCCCATTTATTTCGGAATTTACAGCTTTTCCTTTTCTAGTCACTTTTCTCTTTGATGCAATACTTAATTTGTGTTAGAAAGAAATAAATAAGTTACTGTTTTAAGATGCCAAAGACCTAAAATCGCACTGAGATTTGCTGTTTCATGAGTGATTGAAAATCAAAGTTATACTTAAGGTGTGATCAAAAGACATATAATGCTTTCCAGCCTAAAATATGTATTTGAGATTTAGGGGTAGCTATATATATATATAAATGAAAAAATAATTGCTGCTTTCTTTCAGTATTTTCAGGAGGAGGCATTTCACTCAGAAAGTCAAGGTAGGGGCCCAGGCACGGTGGCTCACACCTGTAATCCCAGCACTTTTGGAGGCTGAGGTGGGTGGATCACTTAAGGTCAGGAGTTGGAAACCAGCCTGGCTAACATGCTAAAACTCTGTCTCTACTAAATATACAAAAATTAGCTGGCCATGGTGATGCATGCCTGTAATCCCAGCTACTCAGCAGGCTAAGACAGGAGAATTGCTTGAACCCAGGAGGCAGAGGTTGCAGTGAACTGAGATCGTGCCATTGCACTGCACTCCAGCCCTGGGCAACAGAGCAAGACCCTGTCTAAAAAAATTAAAAATGAAAAAGAAAGTCAAGATAGGCTTGCCACCAGAAAAGCCTTCAAAAGAGAAGTACTTGTTTCTCCAGGGGAGAGTCTTTCTGAAAAGGGATTTCATGACAAGTATATTGAAACAGCCATAAAGATGAGGCATCTACCTGATAAGTTCTCAGGGCCTACCAGTAAACCACTGGAAGACTTTCTTTACAAAACACAGAGGTAACACTCCACTGAAGCAAACGTATCACTTTGCTTTTTTGTTTAATTTGTCTTTATTGCTAAAATCATTACCACCATGGAAAAGCATGCATTAATTACCAATGGTTCAGAATGTTATTCTGAGAAGCTCACAAAGATAACTGCATACATCTGGACTGATACTCTTTCAGTCAATACTTCACAAGGCATAAAATGAGACAGGTGCATCCAAATAAAGCTCCTGGATGGCAAGAATTATTTTACTTATCCCTCTATTTTCCAACATATTTAGCATACTGCCTTGTTGGTAAGTGCTTTAGAAATATTTGTTGCATGAAGCCGAATTATAGTGAGAAGAGGCAAAGTGTGTGTATCATGCCAAATCCCTTAATTCCCCAAATCCACATACTGCCAACAACAAACTGTAAATCAGAACTGCTACAGATATATTTGAACTTCTGTTTGAATTCCTAAGTTAGTGCTTTAAGCTTAACACTCTAGTCACATTTCTGGCAGGAGAGAAGCACCAAGATGGAAAATTAGAGAAGTCTAGTCTGGTGCTCATCTTGGCATTGCCATTTGGCTGCAGAAGCCCCAGGGCAAGAGGCATAATGCTTCTCAGCCTCAGTTTTCTTACTTAGGTGGTAAGGGGGGAAAAAGGGAGCAAAAGCTAACTTTTTAAACTTTTTTTGTCACTTAAAAAATCGAAATTTTGCACATAACTATATTTAACTGTCATTTGATGATATTCTATCATTAGCACCATGTTAACGATCAAAGACCAACTTTCAAAAGGAAAGGAGCAGTTATGCATCTTAAAGAGTCCAGAGTCTGATGCTTAGAAAGGAAAGGACATTTGCTAATTGCCCATATTTTAGGTTGCAAGACTGGTATTTAAGAACCAGCATCATATGAATACAACACTGGGAGCTCACTCTGGGTTGCCTGGACCACACACTAGCAGGTCCTGGTGATTCTTCTTTTCTCAAATAGGGTAGGGGGGGCAGAACCCAATTTGTTTACTATGGAATTGAAGACTGCTTCTCTGAGTAGGGCTCTGCAACCCAAGAATGAGCCCCAATATTTCCCAGCTGCTCAGAATTTTTCATATCAGGCAGTTGATAATCCTAGAAAACTCTTGTAAATATTTGACACTCAAAATCTGGACAGCCTTGGGCCAAACAGTCTATATATCTCATCTTAATAAAGTTATTTTCTTAAATAAATATAAAGAGATAGCCATGGGCCTCCCTAGTGGAATAAAGTCAACATTATATATGATGTAGATTTCCTGACCTGGTGTGCCTCTCCACAGAGAGATGGTAATGCTGGGGGATTTTCAGTATCCCTGGCTTGTTTGCCCTGGCCTCCTCAATGCATCATTTCCCCTGCAAATATTCTTTAATGAATGTCATGTGATGTTTTGCTTGGCCTCTTCCTCCACCAGTAGACATCTTTAAGGGATCATCTGGCACAAAAATACCTTAGAGAAAAGTATAGGGACTTTGGGTTCAAAATCGATTATTTACTGTCATAGATGTGTTCATAGATTTGTTATTTAGATTTCCTTAGTCTTGGTTTCTTCTACTTAACAATGAGACTGATCATCCCCTCAATTTGATTTAGAGATTAAATAAAATGATAAATGTAAATCGCTTGGCATGGGCACCGATACAAAGTTCTTGTCCACGACTTTTTCAATGTCTTCCATAATCTTCCATCACATGTACCTTTTAGTTCTAAAATTAAGATGGAAAAATGAAAGAATAAGGAAGAGAACTGAAGGACACTCATCAGTAAAAGAACTAGAAGCGGAGAGCAGCAAGGCAAGGAAGCAAACTTAAAAGAAGGTTGGCTTCAGAACATGAGAATAAGACTTCTGGGAAGCTTTTTTTCTGACTTCAGTTTGTTTCGGTATCACTCTAGGCCTAAATGGAGAGCAGCTGCAAATAAGTTTTCTTATTTATTCATCCTCAAATAAAACTTGATAAAGATGAATTCTCTACATTTTCAGGTACTTGAGAGATTTGCCTGGTATTCAAATTGCACCCGCCCTAATAGGTACCAAAGGATGCAGTAGCACTTCACAACACTATGGTCTGGGCTTTGGGAAAGCATCACTATTCCATTTTATAAACCTTCCGCAAGCTAAGTGGTAACAGTTCCCAAATAGACTATGCTATACAGAGGCTGTCATGATGTGCCTTCATTTATGACCTTATGATTTACATTGGTCAATGACAACAGTGTCATCATCATCACTATGGAATTCAACTTAGGCTTATAACTCTTTAAATGCATACAGTAGCTTTCAATCTGTCAAAAAACAGAAATAGTTTATAACAGTAGCATTTTAGCAGGATAAGAAAACAGAGTCCTGTAAATATCAGAGTGAGATTATTAACTCACTGTTAATATGAACTGCAGTGTTTTCTAAGCATGAAAATAAAGCAATTTCTATTTTTTGTTTATCTTTTCTAAATCTGTTTGACCTCTTGACTTGAAATATTTATTTATAAATAATATGCTCACAATCAAATGTAGAGGGAGATCAGACCAAATACTGAACCAAAAGAGAGGGGCTCTATTATTATTGGTATTTGTCCTCAGAGCTGAACAAATATTGTGTTTTGAAAATTATATTAGCTTTGGTCCTGAACATCCCAGTCCACAAATAATAAATTCCTGTTCAAGTTGTTTTATCTTGTTCAAGGGATCTTTATGGTGAGTGCAGAGGAACTCTGAAAACCATCATCCAAACAAGAATTACTGACCCAAACGGGAGAAAAAAAATTTATCTCTTTCTCTGAAGCCAGTCTCAGATGAAGGTAGATTATTGAAAATTGTATCTTGAAATTACATGGACTTTGCAGTTTATAGAGTACTTGCACATATTTCACCTGGGAAGTGCATGTCCATGTGTACTTGAGGACATTTTAGCTCTCCTGAGCCTCTTCAGCCCCAGATTTCTTATCCATTGGCTATGTCACAATGCATGAAATTTCCATCTAATTCACTATGGCAAAGTGCAGAAAGTGCTGCATTTGGAATCAGCAGTCATGTGTATATGCCTCATCTTTGTCATTTACCTGTTTTATCAGGTTGGTGCAAAAGTAATTGTAGTTTTGCCATTAAAACTAATAGCAAAAGCCACAAAACCTTTGCACCAACCTAATAGTTTACCATGAGGCAAATCATTTATTTCTGAAGTCTTTGCTCATTCCTAAAATAAAATTACTTGAACTTGATGCTCACAAGAACCCCTTTTGTCTCAACCATTTTGTGATCAGGTATTCTCTCCTTTTTATTCACACCTAAGTAATGAGTATATGTTATATACTAGCTATCTATTTGTAACCAGGAGGAAAGGCAGCCACAGCAGAAGTATTTTAGAATGCAGACTCAAAAACAGAGGCAGATTCTAAGAATGCCTCTTCAAGCCAAGGGAAGGACATTAAGGATTTAGAGTTGAGAATGGAGTCAAGGCAGAACTCATAAGTATCTGAGGCTTGAAGGACCAGTGATGTGACTAAGAGCAGAAGCACGCCTTGTACTATTGTGTATATAAAAGTGCCGCACAATAAGTCACATTAGGAATGTCTAGGGGAGCCTTACAGGAAGTGTCCCAGGAGGTATGCCCTGTACACTCTTAACAGTAGCCACATCGTCCTAAAGAAGGACTCAGATAAGGGGCTGGAAGCATCACTATAGACCATATTTGCCTACTTTTCAAACTTTATTGATCTTGGAAGACTGCCTGGTGGCTGAAAATAAGGATATTCATGGAAATGAAGAAAGATGATTTATATATTCTTATTTTTTAAATTGCTGTATCACTTTTTAGTCTCAAGCCTGTTAAAGATCCATAGGCAGTCAGATAAAATGACATGCTTGGCAGAAAATTGGAAGAACAAAGTAGGAAGAAAAGGAATCTGTGTTTACATTGAGAATACTCATTTGAGTAATAAAGAGTCACTAAAATGAGAGAATTTTAGTATTGTTTTTACTATTTCTTTTTTTAAAATGCCTTTTGAGATTTTTTTCAAGGTTAGCCTTCGATCTGTAGATTTTTTTGGGTAACACAGACATTTTAACACTATTATGTCTTCTGATCCATTAACATGTGATATCTTTCCATTTATTTGTATCTCCTTCAATTTTTTTCATCAGTGTTTCATAGTTTCTAGTGTAGAAATATTTTGCCTCCTTGGTCAAGTTTATTTCTAAATATTTTATTCATTTTGATACTATTGTGAAGAAAACCATTTTCTTAATTTTTTTGGATGGTTTGTTGTTAGTGTATAGGAATATAATCTACTTTTGTATGTTGATTTTGTATCCTGCAACTTTACTGAATTCATTTATTAGTTCTAAAAGGGTTTTTATGTAAAGAACATTACTTGCAAGAAAAAGCTTTTGTGGATTCAAGGACTCGTGACACAGTGGTTAAAAACCTTAATTGAGGTGTCATGGCTTAAGCATAAAACTAGTCCTAGAAAGAGTAGTCAGCAGTTAATAGAATTTAAGTTATTGATCATCTACCAAAAAGAAAAACAAAAAACAAAAAACAGCATTCTTTCTGTTATCCAGCATGGACTTCCCTACAGTTATCTTATTCCAGAGAACATCAGAAATATCAAGAGTTGAGTATCTGAGTTCAAAGAAAAGTAGATTCAAAGAAATAAAAATATTTCCTAATTTCAATGACCACAGAATATAAATGAACATGAGAACAGACAGAAAATGGCCCTGATGTGTTAGATATATTTACCTTTGACATCATAATGTTTTAAATGACATAATGTATAGAAGGGAAAAATAGATTTCATGATGTTATTACTTTACTGAAGAGGCAATTTTAATCTAAAGGGATCTGATCTGTTGTGATGATTAATCATTTACTTTTTCCAGAAAAAATATTAGACTTTAAAAAGATCTTAAAGGTCCCCTACCTGCCCCAACACACCAAGGCACTCATTTTGCATTAGATTAGATGAATCTGAGCATCCAGAGAGAACGGATGCCAGATGAGATTGGAGGAGATGCCCTGGGACTAGACCTTTTTACTTGGAATCCAGACATCCTTTATTTTGCTTTTTAAAAAGTGGCTCAAAACCAGTTTTATTAGTTTCCAATGCCATTTCTCCTCCATGTTTTCTTTTTTTTCTTCCTTTTTTTCTCTTCTAATTCTTCTTCTGATTATGGTCATTGTTTATAATTTTAAAATTCCTTGTTAATGGAATTTCAATCCCAACAATTCACATTATTTACTAAATATAATAGTTTACTGAATGTAATAGTTTCTTTTTGATCTCTTTCCATTTCCAGTGATTCTAACATATAAATCAATGGCAGACTTTTACATTTTTGCGAGAAATCATCAGGATTAAGAGAAAGATAATATGGTACCTGCTGTGAGGATTTAGAACATTTCAGTTAATAAGTCAATGAAGTTATCAAAAATAGATCTGAAGAGATTACAGTAACAGCAGCTCTTGGAAAAGTGTGAAATTAATCATCTGGGAAATAAGATAAAGCAAGAAATATCTAGGGAGAGAGTCTGCAGTAGGGCTTTAGAGATTGATTCTTGGATATTGCAGCCCTTGTGTGCTACTAGAAGGAATTCCTGGAAATAGTATTAACCCAAATCCCAGCAGTGCATAAAGAGCCCTGGGTGTAGGCTCTGGACACAGAACAACAGTTTGTGTGGGTAACAGCATAGTATATTATAAGAAGACAAATGTCATATACAAATTTTAGTTGTCTTAATTATAGTCTGCAGCTGTTATGCAAAGCTAAAAATAAGGTAACTGTCACTGTCAAAATGCATTTTTTTCAAAGGGGAATGTCTTTACAAATGGCACTGTAGTGAATATAACTACTAAATTTAAAAGCTTCCAATTTGAAGTGGATGACTAGGTTCTCTCATGCAGTCAGTGAAACTTGTTAAGATCTTCATTTCTTTCAAGACCAGGAAATATGCTTTCAACATGAATCAAGTCCTCTGTTTGAGTGCTCATAGACTTCTATTTAGGTGTAGCTTCTCACATAATTGATAGCATATTTGCTATGCATTTTCTGACTTCTATTAAAGGTCTCCCTCTGCTGGGGGGTACTTCAAGCATATAACCTTTTTTTCAATTTTTTTCTTTCAAAATGATAGTGCTATTTGGAAACAAGAGGTTAATAAAGAAATAGAGAAAAGTAAGGATTTCTGTCTTAACGTTTTTTAATTGTCAGGTACTTAAGTATAGACTTAGATAATTGTCACAGCAAGATAGAATAATATCCATGAGAAAAATGTCACAGATAATTTCTATTATATAAGACTTCATTATACTCTTTTAGTGAAAACTGCAGTATCAATTGGTACATTCAAAAATTCACATGATTATAATTTCTTTTTCAGTATTTAGATTACCATATGCCACTTCTTCTCCCTAAAGTGTAGAAATAGATCTATGCTTTAAAATGTTTTCACCATCAAAAGAATTACTAGATAGTAAAAAATTTCCACTAACCAGGGAGTTTTCTTCTTTCTTTCTTTCATTTTAATGATTGTTAGGAGGTGATTTGATTATTTTATGCTGAAATTTTTGTATCTCTTGGTCAGGTTTTTGTTGGACCACAGTCAATGCTGAACTATTAACATGTACTTGGTACTTATTACATCATATTATAACAGCCAGAAATCAAAATAATTGGGGTATATCGGAGTAACATCTGAAGAAATA